TATAATAATTACTCGTTTATGAAATCATAATCTTTTATTCTTCATAATTATTTTTTTTAACTTTGAATTGATAATATATCAAAATTATGAATATAAAAATATAATAATAATACAATAATAAAAATATAAAGAAATAAATTATATACATCTATTTGAATATTATTCGTTTTAATTCCTTTAAATTCTTTATAAATATAACAGTTTTTGATATTATTCAATTTATATTGATAATAATTCAGTAATTGAAATGATTTTAAAATTATAGAATTTTAAAATTTATGTTTAATATTGTTAATTTGTATTGATCATTATAACGATTAATTCAATTCACTTGAAAAAAATTGAATGTTTCGAGATTTAATATTGGAAAAAATATTATATCTTTTTTTATTTATACTAGGTTTTTTTTTTTAATAATCATTAGACAATTATTGAAAAATCTTTCTAGGACTTGGAAAAAATTCAAGGAAATTCAAGCATGTTGCATAATAACATGCAACTTAATAAATTTTTAAGTTTTCAATCTAGAGAAGCAAAAGAAAGTGCTAGTTAATTGAGAAAATATAATGAATATGGAAACTAATCGTGTTTATCGATTATTAGATTGCGATCGCGATTGCTTAACTTCGCAAGTAATCTGAGTTTTAAAAAACATGCTAATTTTCAGAAAAATTTTGTTTATTGTACAAATTTTTATCTATCTGGCTCATAGTTGCAGAAAATAATACACTTAAAATGATTTATAGGATTTGATGATTTTATTTAATTATAATATTTGGAAAAAGAAATAATAATGAGAAAAAATATTAAATCCTTAATTTTCTTTTATAGACATCATATTTGTATATTTTTTATTTATTATAAAGAATCATATTATAATATTTGAAAAGATTATAAATTGTTTTTATGCAATGTTGATTATTGATATATAAGTGTATTATTAGTGTATTATATTTAAAATTAATAAATTTCAAATCACTTATGCATGAAAGAACATATTTATTTGAAATCAGTTATAGTAAAAAAAATTTTCAAATGGACGTGTAAATACTTTTATCCAGGATCGAACGAAACTCTAAACTTTTATAAATAAAAATTATATGATGAACTTTTAACTTTTGAACCATTTATTGTTTCAAGTTAAATTTATATATTAATATTTTAATTTTGTTGTAGATATTCCATTTATAAAAGTTTTGAATTAACAAAAGTTGTAAAGGATAATATATTTATTATAGATATTTTTTTTTACATTATAAAATATAAAAATTAAATAAATTATTTCTTTAATAACTACATAATAAAAGAAAAATATGGATGAGTAAACATATTGTATTTTTTATATAATTATATCATTATATTATTTTAAAAATAAAAATGAAAAAAAAGACATTATAAATTCAATATTCATTTAATTTTACAAATAATATATTATTATATAAATAGAATTTCATGAATGAATCTAACAGTTTCATCTTCGAATCTACTTATCAATTTATTTGTTACAATTTTCATTTTCACTTTTTGAAAACAAAATAAATTCTATTGAATTAAAACTTTTTTCCATTTCATAAGAAATAGAAATTTCTTGTTTATATGAAAATGAAAATATATAGAATAAAAATTTCAATGAATATATATCAAATTAATTTTATAATTATTTTAGAAAATATAATAGTTAATAATTAAAAAATTACTATTATTATCCAACTAGATTAAAAATTTCAACCATTTTATTTTATGTCAGTTTTTATTCAATCTGTTTTTGATTTATAATTGAATGAAATTTTATAAATAAATTTAACAAATATTTCCTTTCTCCTGTTAAATAAACCTACATCATGATCAATTATTCGGGAACTACTGTATTTTAATTAAAAATATTTTGCTTTGTGTGAGGCTTCATTATGTTAAACAAAATATATCCTTATATATCTCAGCATTTTCCATTCCTTAAATTTAGTTTATTTTTATTTTATTATAATTTTAGGGAATTCATGTTTATAGAATGTAGAATTGCTATATACTTAATATTAAAAAATAAAATTGATTAAATAAAATTAATTAGATATAGATATTTTAAATTCTAATTTTTTAAAGAATATTTTTTTAATAATATTTTTATATAATAAATATAATATTTTTTTTATATAATATTATTATATTATTATATATTTAAATATAATATTATTATATTTTTAAATAATATTATTATATAATAATATTATTTTTATATAATAAATAATATAATTTAGTTGAATTTCATTATAACAAG